GCCTCTCGCCAGGGAGTCCCGCTCGCGCTGTTCCTATAAAAAATGGGTTTAATCTYGCCTTTTTGCCTTTTGGAGTATGTACATTTGTTTTGAAAGAGAAACGAGCTTTTGATTGTTTGTTTTTGTGAGCGTTTTCCGAAGCAGCTCGTGGGTCACAGGTGTAAATAACCTGAGGATGCTGCCAGCGCCAAACGCACCGGGGCTCGGTGAACCCACCCGATCTGTGGAGGGGCTGAGCTCCCACCAGAGCTGACACATTCCAGACCAAAAACCCCAAACAAACACACACACACAGGGAAAGAGCAACAGAGGATTAACGAGAGGTGCCCGAGCACGAGAGCGACGGGGACAGAGAAGGACCCTGAGCCAGACAGGAGCTGTTGGCAGCTTTTGCAGCCTGAATTGCACATCCCAGCGCTGCTGCGGGGCACAGCMACACCCTGCATGTCCTGGGGGATCCTGCTGCTGCAGGAGGGTGCGCAGCAACACCGACACAACACTGACAGCAGCAACAGCCACCCAGGTGTGCCTGTGTGCGATGGGGCTGTACCAACACTGACACCAACACCAACAACAGCCACCCAGTGTGCCTGTGTGTGATGGTTCTGCATCAACACCAACATCAACAGCAACAACAGCCACCCAGGTGTGCCTGTGTGCGATGGGGCTGCATCAACACCAACATCAACATCAACAGCACCAACAACACCCACTCAGGTGTGCCTGTGACTGATGCGGCTGTACCAACACCAACACAACACCAACAACACCCACCTGGGTGTGCCTGTGTGCGATGGGGCTGTGCCAACACCAACATCAACAGCAACAGCAACAGCAACACCCACCCAGGTGTGTCTGTGTGCAATGGGGCTGCACCGACACCACACCAACACCAGAAACACCAACACCCATCCAGCTGTGCCCATGTGTGATGGTTCTGTACCAACACCAACACCAACACCCAACACCCACCGGGGTGTGCCCATGTGTGATGGTTCTGCACTAAAACCAACACCCATCCAGGTGTGGCTGTGTACGATGGTTCTGTACCAACACTGACACCAACACCGACAACAACACCCACCCAGGTGTGCCCGTGTCTGATGGTTCTGCTGGCAGGGAGAAGCCTCTGTGCACTCCATTTCCACCTGGAAACCAGCACAGATGTCACTGAAATGTCCCCTCCCACAGGAATGTCCCCTGTCTGAG